AGTACTTTTTCAATTAATTTTGTTAGTTGCACAATATAAATATGATTGTCACTTTATGTCACATTTAGTGTTAAAATCGAAAGTCCACTATGCTGAGGACAGACATGAATTGATTTTTTTTCTTGGTATGTTATGTATAAATTAATCATTACCATATTTCTGGTTTCTCTTTAATCTTTATTTGACCAACTGAACTTGTTATTTAAATGGGAGGGTTGTTGGTGAGCAGACATGTCATGAACAAGACAGCAACCAAGGACTCAAAACTCTGAATCCAGGGAAAATCCAAAACAGCAACCCAGGTTGCAATATCCTGAGTTGGAGAAATTTTGAATCAGTTACAGACACTGACTTTATTTTAATGAGAGGTGATGACACAAAGCAAACATCATACAAGCATCAGCTATCAGTGATCAATGCTCATATGGTAACAGCCAAGCCTGGTCTGAGGGGAAGATAAGGGAAAGTTTTGTCCAAAGCCTTCCAACATGTTCAGGACCACTGCACCTGTGGAAAAATTCCATGGTGCTGAATTGTGCTTAATTGCACTGTCCTGCATATTTGTTGCAGGAAAGTTTTAATTAAATCTAACACCTGTGGTTCAACATCAGATTTATTATTCAGAAGGAACCATAATTTATTTTGTGAACCCCAGAGATCTGGGTAGACACATTATTAAAAGTTTCATTCATGCATGCCTTGGTATCATTATTACCCGGGTGATGCAATTGTTTGTTATGTCAATATTATATCAAATGTATTGCATAATAATTATGACCATCATGAATATTTGATGGATGATTAAATAGCTAAGTTGTGTTTGTTTTGTTTTATTTTATTAAAGATGTATAATTAATTATACAATAAAAAAATTGCAAGACTGCACCACTATGTCAATCAAGCTATAAAGCTGTTATGGTTTAAAATTCTTTTGTGCTAATTTAAGGGTCTGTCTTACTTTACTTATATATAATCTATTGGTTCTCTTTTTACTGGTTGAATGATGCCAAATTGAGTAATGGTGTATCAGCAAACATCAGAATCTGACTATTCTTTAAAAAAATAATCAAGGTATTAGCATACTGATAAGTTAATAGTATTCTTAGTATTTTTATCATATATTCTAAAAGCTTATTATTAAATATTGAAAGTGTCAATATTTATCAGATATTAATCCTATTTTTTTTAGTTAATTATTAATTTAATAAACCAATAGCTCTTTTATATTGTAATTAAGTTATTGGTTAAATACTTCTAAGGGAGCTTTCTCATACAAATCTACTTTAAAATTATAGTCACACAACATAATTTCGAGATTGTCACAAAGTGATAAAAGTGATAAATCGAACTTCCATCATTTTGAGTGGCTGCATGCAACAGTGTGTGACCATAAATTTAAAAATAAAAAATATAAATAATTTTGTTTTTTTAAAAAAAAAAAAAAAAAAAAAAATGAAAAAATTTAAATTTTACATTTTTTCGATTTTTTCGATTTTTATATTTACCTCGTTAGTAAAAGCTTGGGAACAAGGTATTATTATTATATGACAAATTTAGAATATATATCTATTTATATTATGGAATAAATAAATTCAAAAATTTTTTTTTATATTCTAAAATAAAACAGAGGATTATGAAATATTTGATTTAGTAGATGATTTAGAAAATGCAGAAGGGGAAGATGTAACTTTTTATTCATGGCTTGGAGTGGAACCTACAGCCAGTGAAAAGGAAATTAATAAAGCATATCGTAAATTATCTTTAACTTTACAGTAAGTTTATTTATATGTTTATGATAATAAATGCATGTAAAATCTTGATGATTTATTATTGGTAATTTTTATTTAGCCCGGATAAAAATCCCGATAAAGATACCAAAGAAAAATTTTCTAGACTAAGTTCAATAGGAGCAATTTTACGTAATTCAGAGTCAAGAGAACGATACAATTTTTTTCTAAAGAATGGAGTACCAAAATGGCGTGGTACTGGCTATTATTATAGTCGGCATAGACCGGGACTTAGTACTGTAGTAATATTTTTATTGATGCTGTCATCATTGTTTCATTATGTTATCATGTGGGTAAACTATTATCAGGACAAACAACGTATACGATATTATATACAAGAATCGAGAGAGATCGCATGGGGTAAAAGAATGAAAAAACAAAATACCAGGAAAAAGATTTTAGTTAATGAAAAGAATTTTATTGTTGATTCTGATAATGTTTTCTTATTGACTAAAGATGGCGAAGAATTGATTATGGATGAGAATGAAATCGAGAAACCAAGAATTTTGAATGTCTTTATATTTTCAATCCCTATTTTAATTTATAAAAAACTTATAAAACGGAAGAAAACATTTAAAAAAGATAGCAATAAAGATGATACTAACATTAATAATAATGATGATGATGATGATATTGATGATGGTAATAATAATAGAAAGATTAATGATAAATCTCGTAGACGTAGAAAAGAATTAAAAAACCAATAATTTAATTTTGAGATTTGGTTGTAATAACAGTAATTTATTTTATTTTATAGAAAATACTTTAGAAAACACTTTAGAATAAAATAATTACATTGACTTTGGAAGTTTATTATTATTTTTTATTCTTCCAATAGTGTAAATAACAACAAAAACAATTTCAAAAAAAAATTTTTTTAAAAGAAATAAAAACCATAATGAAATTTCTTATTACTAGCTCTTGTTGTTTTTCTTTGTTCACCTCTTAATTATATCTTGACACTGTGGATACTTTATTAGAATTATCATTATTATTATTATTGCCATTAATTTCTTTGTTGCCATCTCTTTTGTTATTATATTCAGTTTGATTATTTAATTTACTAGTCTTTATTTAATCAAACATCATCATCATTTTTGTCAATGATTTTACGGTTACGTTCAGCATTACTGCTAGCACTAGTGCTATTATTGTTGTTGTTAGTATTGTCATTATTATTAATAGCATTATCATTGTTATTATTACCATCATCATTGATATAATCACTGCTATTTTTATTTTTCTATTTGTATTATTTTTATTTGGTTGTATCATTCATATCACCTTTTCTCTTTTATTCAAAAAATATCCTTGTTTGTTAGTGAAGTATTTCAATTCCTCTGAGCCTATCAAAAAGAAAGAATGCAAAAGTTGATTAGCATCATCTCTTTTCTAAAGTAGACATAAATATACAAACATATGAAATTGTTATACATACCATCTAATACTTTGAGAGTGAGTTTATCACCACCACCCAAGGTACAATTATCTTGCAACACAGATTTACCAATAGCATCAGCCCTAGGTTCTATAATTCTTAAAGGTTCTCTTTCTTTATACTGCACATATTATTAAGAAAGCTTACTTTAATTGGCAAACGATCAATATTTTTTCCTGCGCTTGAGAATTGTATAATAATAACTTATTTTTAATTCTTGGGTGTTTTGTTACATTCTTTATCACAAAATTGCGTTTTTGTTTACGTATTGTTAGGATCATTTCACACTACTTTATTATTATAATTGACATGAAATTAGGAATTCGCTTTATCATCATTAGAAGTTTGTATCATGAAATTTCTTTGCTTCTTCATGATTTGTAAATTCGATAAAGAGCAATCCACAACAACAACAACAACGACAACAAATAACAGCAATAATCTTTATATTTAAAAATTTCCAGTATTATTATCTTTTCTACGAAAGACCTTTTGAGAATTGCCATATTAAGAAAAGAAAATTTTAACTTCTGATTCGAATGGCCAATTTAATTTATCACCAAATCATTTTCAAATAATGGGTCGAAGGAACAAATGAAAGAAACAGTTGAAATCAGTAAATGTGAATGAAAATGGGAGAATTTCTAGCAAAAACCGGGCATAAGGCTTCCAGACCAAAATTGAGTTTTCTGCATAATGTAACTGGCGAAAGGTTTAGACATTACTCAAGGCTTGAAATCGTCAGATTAATAACAATTTAATATGAATAATTGTTATAATTGAAAATACAGAATATTGACAAACTTGAATAAATAAACATATCTTTCGCAATTATTGTTTAGGTAATTCTCTATAAATTTATGATATTTTGACAATATATGTGTGAACTTTGGTATTATTTTAGATTCGAAGTATAATTCAATAACGCTGCATTATTTTAAAGATTTGAAATAACTTGATGATTAAATATAACGTTAAAAATTTTGTTTATATGGATTTACAAACAAAATATAAAATATATGTAAATAGAAAAAATCGAAAAAAATAAAATTATTAGAAAATAATTATAATTGTTATTATTATTGTTATCGGCGCTACTTGAAATTGATTGAACGAACTATTGTATAAATATTAACATTTAGTATCTGTTATTGTTATTGTTATATAAAAAATTCTTGGATATTTTGAAGTTGAGATACTATGTAAATAGTAGTTGATCATTGTTTTGATTGAAATTATTCGCGATAATAGAATTTTGATGAATATTTTGACCAACAAAATTATTGTCAAAGAAATTGTTCAGATAATTAATGCTCGTAGTGATGGATGGATTTTGGCCAATGATATCATTATTATCATTGTTGGTTATTCCAGTGAGGCTAAACCAATACCGAGTTTTGATTGGCGAAATTAATTAAATTACCTTTGCCAGAATTTTGATCAAAAATTATCGTCTCCAAGATTTTGATGAATGTAATTATTGTCTCCAGGGTCCTGATGAATGTAATAGTTGTTGTAGTAGTGGCTGGATGTTTGATTGTTCGTAATTGTCATAATCATTAGGGACAAAGTTTTGATTATTGACATCAAGATCATTAATATTAGAATCAATATTATCGTCAGAATAATTTTGATACATTTTTGTTTTAATATGTTGATTATTATATATACGTATATATTGGTTGAATTTATTTATGTAATTTGATGTTACACAATAAATTTTGAATGTTAAATTAAATACTTGATTAATATGAAGTTCAAGTAGTTATCAAATGACCGTACTTAATAAATATAGGGTGAATGTTGGATCAACTTCGTGACGAATAATTCAAATAAGTCAAATAAATAAAATAAATAATTCAATCAATATAATTTAAATAAAACAAATAAAACGAATAATGAGAATAAAAATGCATTTCGTTGGTCTAGAAATTTTTTACTGCGGGATTGCGGCTATAAATTTAGCATGTAGATCATTCGACATAAATTAATAATATATTAAAGAAAAAAATGTACTGGGCAAGTGGAATTGCAAAAGCTTTAGAAGTTCGTTGGCCTGATTTTTCTTATTTTAGCGAAACAGATTCGAGTAATTCCATTGATTCATCAGAGTATGAAGAAGAGTTAGTAGAGGAGACCGCACATAAGCTCTCAGTTTCTGTAAAGGATCCTTCAAAGAAAATTATAAAATTAAAACGTAATAAAAGCGGAAATTTATTTGTTACCATTACAAAAGAATCGATTCAATTATGGATTTTTAGGGTAATTGTATATAAATGACAACAAATTTATTTAGAATCAATGAGTTATCTTTATAATTGTTGCTCATTTTAATATAATTTCATTAGCCTACAGCTTTAGTATCACAGGTCACTAGAACTGAAAAATCACTCTCAGAATATGGTGAAAACAATGATGTTTATTGGAAACCAGATGGGACTCTTATCATTGTTCAGGTATTTCTAATCTTTAAATAACTGTTGATTTATATATTCAACATATAGATTATTGTCTTTTGAGTAATTTTTATATTTTGTTAATTTTAAATTATTAGACAGATCAAAATTGTTTATTTACATATAATGTCATGCCATTGGATGATAAAAGTTATAAATATCAATTTGGCAATGTACCTCATCATTATACTACTGGTGTTGGTGAAGGCAACGGAATAAAAACATTTTTATTAAAATTCAGAATGACGATTAGAATTGATGCTGGTATGAATGCGTGAGTAGTTGGATATTGTTTCTTTTAATTATATTCAAATTCAAATAATATTTTTATTTTTTATAAATAATTATATCGCCCACATATATATAAAATTATTTATATATCTAGTATTAATTTAAAATTAGTGGCTTAGGAACCGAAGAATATCTAATTGTTACTACAAAAAATCCCACTGCTATTCAATGTATACCTTGGAATGGAGATCCAAGTGCAACTAAAACAAACATTTTAGCCAGACTGGAATTTTTGGAAAATAAAAAATGTAATTTATTATTATTATTATTATTATTATTATTATTATCTTGTATTCTTTAAAACATTTTGGTCACACACATATATATATATATAAATTTTTTTCTAGCTGGCATAAAATTTATTATTTATGATCGACGTATAAATCTTTATGGATGGGTAACTACTGATGGGAAATCATATGCTGTTCAATTCAATGAACATCAATCTTCTGTAAGTTTGAATTATGATAAATAAATATTGTTTAAATATTATATCTTATATTTTTATTAAAATATTCAAGCTTTTAAAAGGTTTCCAAGCATCCACTACTTTATTGGTTAGGATATTGTTTTCATGGAAGCGGCGAAGCAGCTCCTGAAAAGGATGCCAAAGCAACTTGTATTGCTATTAATGCTAAATTTGCATTACTGGCTGTTGGAACAGAAGGGTTTGTATTTGTTAGAAAATTTTTTATTTCTTGTTTTATGAAATGAATTTTGTTAATTTGGTTAATTTTGTTTTTAGTGGAATGGTATATGTATATTTTGCTAGAAATTACAATGGAAATATACATCTTTCTCATAAATTGTCAATATGGGAGAATCTAGAAACATCTACTAATATCCTTGATTATAAAGATTTATATTAAAATTCTTTTTAAAAACCATATATAAAAATAATATTACTTCTTTAACATCAAAAACACCCAATTCTACAGGTCCTGTAACATCACTTTCTTGGACATCTGATGGACATGCTATTGCTGTAGGTTGGCAGAATGAAGGATTGGCCATATGGAGTGTTTATGGAAAATTATTAATGACTACAATACGAGATGATTGGCCCAGTTCAATGTATGAATATTTGTAATTTTTAAAACATTTACTGTGTTATTTGGAATAACAATCACAACTTATTTATTTTAGCCCAAATAATCAAGACAAATTTTTAAATGGAGTAAATGATCTTGTAAGTTGTTTATGATTGATTTATTTCTCATTTTTTTATAATTTTGAAGAATATTTATGCCATATATTAAAACTATAATTATTTTTCAAAAAAAAAAAAAAAAAAAAAAACAAAGTTTTGGAGTTCTGGCGATTGTGAACTTTTTATTTTACATCATACAAATAATGAAAATGGTAGAATGGCATTTAAAAATTATATTATAAAATTATATATACACTTGTAAATATTAATGAGTTTTCATCAAATTTTTAGAAAGTCAATTATATACTATTCCGTTTGCAAAATCAGCAGTTACAACTATTCATAGCCCAGTTAAGTTTATATAAGTTTTTTTCTTTATAATAGTCTTTTATTTGCTCAATCATTTATTAAAAAAATTACAATCATCATTATAGGATAATGCCAAGAGAGGTTTTTTACAAATGGATGATCGCCTATTACTTTATCGTGGTGGAGATCAAGAAGATCTTAGTGCTATTAATCCTGATACCATAGTTTGGCAACACATTCCTGTAAATTGAAATAACATTTTATTAATTGAAATATTTTTTTAGTTATGCAATATTAATTTTATTTTTTTTCAAATATTTTTTATCATGATAGATACCAATCATGTATTTAAGTGATAATTGGCCTATAAAAGTACTATTATATTATAAAGATATTTATTATATTCATTTTATTAAAAAATTTTTTAATCTTATTCTTGCTTCGTTCTGAAAAGTATGCATCTATTAATGGAGAAGGAAGGTATATTGCAATTGCAGGAAGACGTGGCTTAGCACATTATAATGTGACATCAGGTCGTTGGAAGCTTTTTGGTAATCAACAACAAGTATGTAGACATAACTTTAATTTACAATAGTTGCGAAGATTTTCTTTATTAATATTAGTTATTATTTTGACAGGAACAAGAATTTGCAGTACGTGGTGGATTATTGTGGTATAAAGATATTTTGGTTGCAGCTTGTAAAAATGTTCAAACTCATACTTATGAGGTAAAGCACACAACATATATATATATATATATATCTGATTCAAGTTACAGTCAGACCTCAGGGATTCAAAAAATTGGAACTATTAGTATATCTTTTTATTTATAAATGATGAGCGTAATAACTTTTTTATTAAGATGTGTTTATATGGAATGTGGATGGATATAAAGAAGTCTGACTGTAATATGAAAAAATAAAATAATTCATTTCTTATTTTATTTATTGATAAATAGATACGGATGTATTCTCGTGAAAAAAATTTGGATAATATTCATATGATTGAAAATGTTAAAATTTCAAGCAATATATTATATTTAAGTATAGTTGACAATGCCTTACTTGTTTATTGCGGGGATAATATGATGTACCATTATTTAATTAATTCACCTACTACTGCACAAGAATTTGCTGAACTTAATGGTACAACAAGATTGGTTTCTTTGGAGTTATGTCAGCAGATTTCTTTTATAGGTGTTATTCATGCACCAACTAGAGTTAGGTCTATATCATGGTTTCAACCTAAAGTACACAGTGAGTTTCTTTATTATTATGTTAATTAATATTTATGTTTATATTTAATATTATTATATATATATATATTATTTTAACAGGACCTTTTACACCAGACACCATTCAATCAGCTTCAATAATTTTCTTAATAGACGGCAAGCTTGTATTGTTACATCCAAAAAAGGTTTATTGATTAGTTGTTTACTTGAATATATTTATTGAAACATTTAATACCAAATACACAGAAATCTTTTTTATTAATTTCACTATTCTTTAATTATAAAAAAAAAAGAGTAACGAAGGAGAAGTTCAATATGACTTGCATATTTTAGCTGATAAAATTGAATTTTATTGGATGTCTACTAAAGGGATTGGTAGTTTAAAGAATTCTTTATGGGCATGCGATGGTCAGGGAATAAGGGTATGAGAATAGAGGTAGTGATGGCGAATAAATGGGTTATTTTTATATTTAATTTATTTTTTTTATTATTTTAAAGATATGGATGAATATATGGTCAAACGAAGAATCAGCAAGAGATTGGCATAATGATGTTTTGATGTCTGCAAGTAAAGAATGCTTGAGAATTACATTAGAATTTTATCCTTTATGTAAGTTATGGTTTTATTTTTTATTTTTTCATTTGATGACAAAAATTTTAATATAAATTTTTATTTTTATCTTAGCTGTTTTACTTGATAAAGGAATAATTGTAGGAGTGCAACAACAGATGTCTATTCGATTATCTTTGGATTATACTGTTTTTAAATTGATGACAAATGTAAATGAAAAAAAAATTTTTTTTTAGTATTTGAAACTTTTAAACATAATTAATCAAACACGACTTTTATTTTTATTTTTTATAAAAGACGCATTTATTTTTGCAGCATATTTTAAGATACATGTTGACTAAAGAGTAGGTTTTAATAAGAGTTTTTAATGAATTCAAATTCAAATAGTTATCAACTAAGTAACCATTTAATAATCCATCCACTCATTTGCATTGTTATTAAAGACTTGAAGAAGAATCAGTTGCTTTTGCAACAAGTTATCAGAGATTAGTTTACTTTGGACATGCATTAGAGATGCTTTTACATCAGGTATTAGAAGATGAAGCAGAACATCCAAATGAAACTGCTCAAGGTAATAATCAGTAGGGTAGCACCCAGTTTAGTTTAAGTTAGAAAGAAAATTTTTTTCAGAATATTATTATCTATATGACATTTAACAATAACGATGATGATAATAATAATAATAGGAGCAGCGGTTTTACCACGTGTTGTAAAATTCATCAACACTTTTCCTCATTCACTTGATGCTATAGTGGCGTGTGCACGTAAAACTGAAGTAGCATTATGGAGTTATTTATTTTCAATCGTTGGAAGTCCCAAAGATTTATATGAGGTAATAATAATATGATGGTGATCATGGTGATCATGGTGGTGGTGGTAGCAGTAAAAGCTCTTATTAAATAAATGTTTGTTAATAATTTTATTATTTCTTTAATTTACATATTTATTTATATTTCTTTTTTTTGATAAAGAAATGTATGTCAACAGGATTACTTAAAACTGCAACCTCTTATCTATTAGTTATTCATACATTGGAACCAACAGCAGATAGTGGCAAGGTATTGTTATAAATGAAAATATGATGTTTATATATGACAGAGATGGTTTGTTAATGTATATTTTATATACGTCACACACATATATATGAATAGGATACAATGAGATTATTGTCTAAAGCAATGGAATCTGATGATTATGAAGTATGAATTTAATTAAAATTGTAAAATCAACAAATTTTTTTTAAACTTGACTTATTAATTTTATTAATTTTTAGTTATGTAAAGAACTCGTTAGATTTTTAAATTCAATAGATGGTAAATACTATTGTTATTTTAACTGATTTACATAGTTTTCACCGTTAGTATTTTTTAATTTAATATAATTATTATTATTAACAGGGACAGGAAAATTATTAAAAGACGCTTTAGAAACAATTGAAATTTCTTTCAAGAATAAAGATGATGCAATCAAATCATCTTTATTACCTTCATCTAAACCATTAACTCATAATTATACTGATGGAAGTGAAAATGTTTGGGCGGCATAATTTTTGATTATTTATTTTTATTTTAAATTTATTTATTATTTTAATATTTTAATTAATTATCATGTGTCTACTATGATATGACATGAGACACGCTATAATTTACATTGTTGCATGTTATTATAGTATGTCATGCGCTCATTTCAAAGTCTAGCATAATTACTTTTTTTTGCCTTTATAGATTTTATTTTATTAAATTTTTTAAAATAATTAAAAAATGCAATTATAACTTTTATTGCCATTTCTTAAATCCGATACTGATGATTACAAAACCGTCCACTTTGGGGGTTTCATATTTTTAGTAACCAGTTTGCTAGAGTCCGGAAACTATACATATAGACCCATTTTTTGAACAATCAATATTAATATTAATATGTAAAAAACAAAAAGCTGCCATGGGACGTACAATTCATTTATCTTTCAAGAAAGATTGCTATTAAGCCAAGCTGCCTTTAAATTGGCTTCAAGCCAGCTCAACATTACGGGCTTGATTGAAAAGCTCGATCCAGCATGCGAGAATAGTGTGATTCATTAGATAACAAAAGAGTATGTTACTTGCCACTAGATAATTATACCAATCTCAAGAATAAAAAACAGACTATTATCAACAGACATCTTTTCCTACTCTTTCTCATGCCTTACACCTAATTTTAAATATGAACTAATTATCTTCATCTTGAAATACAAGATAAAAAAATACAGAAACTCCCTCATTTTTGTTTAAAATATAATTCCCACAAACGAAAATGACGATATTCCAATTATAACCGACTTTTGATGTTACACGCAAAAACAGTATTTTATTAGAACTCTATACCACGAACATTAACCATCAAAATTCTAATTGTTATGGATTATGGTTCAGGACAAACAAAAGATTTCTCTTATTCTTTTTGTCAAACAAAAGATCTTGACTTATTCTTATCAGTCAGAATGTAAATAAATCCTTATATTATATATGTTTATTATTATTATTATTATTATTATTATTAGCTTTTACCAAAATGTCCTTATTTAAATAATTTACAGATCAACTCTTGAAGGTTTTCGCGAAAAGAAAACTTTTACTGAGCTACTCGAAAATGCCTCATTAAAGTACACTGGCTTACAAACAGGGTATGTTTAAAAAAAAAAAAACGAAATTGATGCAAGAAATTCTTTAATTAGACAATTATGAATTTTATTGAAAAATTTCACTTGATTTTTTTTAGCGATTTTCCAGATATTTATGTGACATGTCAATTATTTGGCGGTAATAAACCACTTACAATACCCGTTCGAACTTCTTATAAATCATTTCAGAATCATTGGTTGTGGGTATATGTGAATATGAGTTTTTTTTTTATTTAGATTTATAATTGGACCATTAAAACTTTTATCTCGATCAATAAAAATTCGCATATATGTGTATGTATAAAATATTAATTAATAGATGGAATGAATGGCTTACAATTCCTATCAAGTATCGTGATTTGCCTATTACAGCTCAATTGGCCTTTACTGTCTGGGATACTTATGGTCCACGTAAAGCAGTTCCAATCGGAGGTACTACATTTCGACTGTTTGGAAAACACAAGTATGTAATTGATCCTTTTCATTAAAAAAAAAAAAACCCCCATTAGAGTCTTGATTAAACAATATTTTTTTTCTTTTTTTTTTTAGCACTTTACGAAAAGGTAAACAAAAATTATATCTTTGGCCAAGTGTAGAAGCAGATGGCGATGATAACACTCAAACTCCTAGTAAAACAGGCGATAAAAACGAAATGGATAGATTGGAAAAGGTTTTGATTTTTTGGTTTTTTAGAATAATATTATAGTTTTTTTAAAAAATATATTATACATTTGTAATTAATCTATCATAGTTGGTAAAACGTTATGAAAGGAATGATATGTCCAAATTGGAGTGGCTTGATAATCTAGCATTTCGTCAAATAGAAAAAGTGAATAAGGTATAATACATTATTTTATTAAATTTAACTATTTTTTTCTCAAGCTTATTATTGATTTATATATATATATTGCAATATAGCTGGAGTCTTCAAAATCAAAAAAGCTGTATCTGTATATAGATTTGCCAAAATTTGATTTTCCTATTGTTTTCAGTGAACCAGTGAGTTTTCATATACTAATATTAATCATTAGATTTAATACATGCACTTTATAATAATTAACTTTTGTTATTAATTTTTTATATTTTTAGGAATATTTATTGCCAGTAAATCCTATTTCACCTAGTAATGCCGGATCAGTTCAATCTAATTCACTTGCATCAAGTGGTTCTAGTATGATATTGATAAGAGACTCTGAAATTTTATGGGATAATCCTGTAGAGGCTAAGCATAGACGTCTGGCTAGAGATCATCGTAATGGACCATTGGATCATGATTTGAAACCAAATGCAAAGATTCGTGATGAATTAAATGTAATAATAATAACAATAGTTCTTATATATGAAAGTTCGCCATTAAACAAAGTTCCTAATTCTTATTTTATATACATATACGTCTATGGTCTATATATAGGAAATATTAAAGTATCCACCAACTCAAACTTTGACTCCAAAAGAAAAGGATTTACTATGGAGATTTAGGTTTTACCTTACTCGTGATAAAAGAGTACGCAAAATTTAAGGCTTTTCCAGTTTTCAAATTTAATGTCACAAAGAACTATTTAATAAATATATGCATATATATTGTTCTCTGCAGGCACTTACAAAATTTTTAAAATGTGTCGTCTGGTCAGATCCTACAGAATCAAAACAAGCGGTAGATCTATTATCAAAATGGGCTGGTATTGATTTAGATGATGCATTGGAATTATTAGGAGATAAATTCGAAAATCGTGCTGTTCGTTCTTATGCAGTCAATCAATTAAAGAAGGCGGATGATGAAGTATGTGAAAATTTTGGATTTTTTGAAATATGCATTTAACAAATATTAAAATATTTATATATTTTTTTAAAAAAAAAAAAATGAACCGTAGGAGCTATTATTATATTTATTACAATTAGTTCAAGCTCTAAAATTTGAAAATATCACTGAGAAATCAAGCTCTTCACATGAATCCAGTTTAGCAGAATTTTTAATTGAACGTGCAATTAAAAATCCACTCCTTGTAAATAATTTTCATTGGTCTGTAACCTTTTTAATCAAAAAAAAAAAAAAACTTAAATATGAGTTTAGTTTATTTTTTTTTAAAAAAAAATAGAATTATTTTAAACTTATATTCAAAAAATTTATATGTATTTAGGTATCTTATGGTTGAATGTGAATGTGAAGATAAAGTTTTATTTAAGATGTATGGAAAAGTATCATTCCAATTTCAGACAAAGATGACAGAGGTAAGGTTTTGAAATAAATAAATTACATTATATATATATCTTTTTATTATTTGATTTGATTTATTGAAAATTAATTACATTTTCCTTAATTAAGATTCCATCAGGAATTCAACGAAGAGATATTTTTTACAGGCAAGGGTTATTGATCGAAGCCCTTTCTTCTATATCTAGAGAAATAAGAACAATGAAAGATGGTAGACCGAAAAAAGTAAGTCGATAAGTATGTTTGATCATTTTTCTTAATCTAACGTTCAAATACGTAATTTTTAGATTGAAAGACTAAGAGAAATAATATCGGATCCAAAACAAGGATTGTTAAATTTTCCTCCTTTACCATTACCACTTGATGCACGGATCAGTGTTACTGGAATTATACCAGAAAAAACCACCGTGTTTAAGAGTAATTTGTTTCCGCTACGTTTAACTTTTTCATTATCAGGCGGTGGCGAGTATCCAGTAAGTATGGCAACTTTAACAAATATTTATTGATTGTTTTGTTTTGTTTTTTGAGGTCAAAAATTTTATTTATTGTATAGGCAATTTTTAAAACTGGTGATGATCTTCGTCAAGATCAACTTGTTATACAGATTATTACACTAATGGATAAACTTTTAAGAAAAGAAAATTTGGATCTTAAATTAACTCCTTATAAAGTACTTGCAACAGGAACCGACCATGGTTTAGTACAATTTATACCATCATCATCATTAGCAGATGTTCTGAATGATTATAATGGAAGTTTGTTAATGTTTTTGAAAGCTCATCATCCAGAAGAAAAGGCAGTAGGAGCCTATGGCGTTAATCCTGTTGTAATGGATACTTATGTAAAGAGTTGTGGTATGTTTAAATAACTAAATAAATATGTTATTTATTTGGTTTTTTCTTTGATTGTTAATTTTTTATCTTTATTTTTTAAAAAAAAGCCGGATATTGTGTTGTAACATATTTATTGGGAGTTGGAGATCGGCATTTGGATAATTTACTACTTTCACCTGATGGTAATCTTTTCCATGTTGATTTTGGATTTATACTGGGACGTGACCCAAAACCATTTCCGCCACCGATGAAACTTTGCAAGGAAATGGTAGAAGCTATGGGTGGAGCCAATTCCATTCACTATCTAAGATTTAGAAGTTATTGTTATAGTGCATTTAACATTTTACGCAAAAACGCGAATTTGATACTCAACTTGTTTGCGTTGATGGTAAATGCAAACGTGCCTGATATTAAAATTGAACCTGACAAAGCGGTTTGGAAGGTATGCTGAATGAATATGATATGAATGGTTTTAATATGATATAAAGATATAATAATAATAATAGTTTTTAATAATTTTATATAGGTTCAAGAAAAATTTAGATTGGATTTGACAGAAGAAGAGGCTATAAAATATTTCCAAAATTTAATAAATGATTCAGTTAGTGCGTTGTTTCCACAAGTAATTGAAACCATTCATAAATGGTCACAATATTGGAGAAAATAAAGGTATAATATTAATATTATTATACCTTTGTAATTTTAGAATAAAATTGTACTTTTAAGTATTTATTTGCTTTTATTATTATCATCACCATCACCATCATCATCATCGCTACTAATATAATATTAATTAATAAGTTTATAATCTAATAAATTTCGCTTGTAAAAATCTTCTTTCAACACATAAACTTTTTGCTCTGTTAATTGTTTCTCTATAAACGTATTCCATATCAATATTCTTAAATAAACTATTAGATTCAAAAGTTTCTTTTAAATACTTTTTACTAAAAAAGTAAGATAAAGTACCATCCTGCCTAACATATAAATTGTCTTGTAATTTGTTTGATTTACTATTGGAAAATTTTAATTGAGTTTCATCGTATAATGCATAATCACGGAAACAAACCACCGAACCAGGTTTTGTTACTTCAGCTATATTTTTTATAACATTTAAATGATTTTCAGGTGGCATAGCAGAAAATACAAATATAGCAGACACAATATCAATTTTATCATTAATTATATACTGTGATAAAGAATCTTTTGTTAAATCACAAACAAATGCTTTACAACGTTTTTCATCATATTTTTGATTTAACTAAATATTATAATTAATTAATGATGTGATGATGATGGTGATGATAATAATAATAATAATAATAATAATAATAATAAAATAAAATTTTTATTTACCTTTACAAAATCAATTGCTCTTTTAGAAAAATCACAAGCATAGATAAATAAATTGGAATTTGATTCAAGTACAGGGAATAAAAAATTTCCTACGCCACAACCTAATTCCAATACAATCTAATTTTTTATACAATATGAAATAAATATTAATGTATATATTGAATAATTCCACAATCATTCAATAATTAAACCTTTTGAGATGAAGATTCATTCAATTCAATAAATTCACGGCCTATCCAATTACGATTTTTAAAAAATTTTGTTGTATTTCTTCTATAGAATAAATCCCAATTTTTACAAGTTTCATTTTTATATTTATCAATCCAAAATTTTGGTAATATCTTTGAATCTTTTATTATGATTTCTTTGATATTTTCTGGTATGTTATCATCATTGTCATCTGTAAATATTTGGTTTTTTTCGTTGCTCTTGGTATTCTTGGAGGGAAATTCTTTTTCGTGTTCACTCATTTTTTATATATATTATAATCCCAATGAATTTCTTTGACTAGTTTGCACTCGTGTAACAAAAAAAGTTGAAAATTACCCATTTTTATTTTAGCTATCTCTATTGATTAGATCAATTCAATTTTTGATCAATCAATCTAACATCTTTCTTTACTTGATATTATTTGTTATTGACCTTATATAATTTTTTCTTACTATTATTATTACTTTACCTTTTGAAAATGTCCAAGAACAAGAATAACCTATACTGGTTCATTTCTGGTATATTCATTTTTTTTTTTCATTATTCAATTTGTTTAATTAACAATGAATATAAATAATAATTTATAAATTTTTTAGTTCCTGCCGAAGGAAATAAATCAGTTGTTTTTCAAAACCTAAAATCTAAATTAACAAGTGTAGAATTTGCAGAAGTATATCAATTCATTATTCCCGAATTCAAGGTGTGAGAGAAAGTATATGCGATTACTCAAAAATAAAAGAACTTTTTATTTTTGTAAAAAAAAGAGAAATAAATAAAAATAAATTTTTTAAGATAAAAAATTAAAAATTTTTTTTAACTTATCTAAAAAGTACATTTTTTGGGTCATATGCAAATATATATACATGTAATTACCAGATAGGTACACTTGATAATTTGGTGGTGATTTCTGATGAATTTGTCAAATATGATCAATCATTTGAATCTGTAACAATGAAAATTGTTGATATTCTTCGCAGTCTATTGAAAGGAGACGCTGATCAAATCGAAGCAAATTTGATAGTAAATGATAGTAAGTATATATTTTGATTTTGAGTGTTGATGGTGTTGGGAGAGAGAAAAAACAATACAAGTCTATTATATTTTATATTTTACCTTATTTTATTTTGTAGAAAGTATTGATCAATATTTAACAACTTTTCAATGGAATACCATGAAATTCAGAGCTGATAAATCACTTTCAGCAATAGCCGAAAAATTGAATGAAGTTAGTCTATGTTGTATATATATATGTATAGTTTGTATAAATATTAATATTAGTGTTATTACTATTGTTTTATTATATATTATTTTAGGAAGTGACAACAATTGAGAATCTGATGAAAGCAAAATCTGCCCATTATAATCAAATTAAAGGAAATTTACAAGTACTGGAACGAAAACAAACGTATTTATATTGATTGGTTGATTAAATATATAAAATATAAAATACAAAAAGATCTATTTTTAATCGATTAAATTTATTTCAATAATTAATTATTAGAGGAAATTTTGCAGTTCGTGATTTGGCAGGTTTTGTTAAAAAAGAACATTTTGTTTTAGATTCTGAATACTTGGAAACTCTACTTGTAGCAGTGCCAAAGTAAGTAATACTTTTGTAGATGTTGGTAGCATTTAATGATGTGTTAAAGTAATCAAAAAAATTTTTATATTAAATTATTATCATTTAGGAATCTTTATAAAGAATGGCACTCTAAATATGAAACTATTACTCAAATGATTGTACCACGATCTTCTCAGTAAGTCAAGAACATATTATATTTTAAAATACGTTATTCCAATACTTTATTATAAAATATATATTATATGATTAATTAAATTTTTACATTTATAAATATTATATAGAAAAATTGCAGAAGATAATGAGTACGGATTGTTTACAATTACACTTTTCAAAAGGGTTAGTGAAGAATTTGCAAATAAATGTAGAGAAGAAAAGTTTATTGTACGAGATTTCAAGTATAATGAAGATGAAATGGCTAATCATCGTAAAGAATTTGAGGAAGTTGGAGCTACAGAAAAAGAATTATGGGTAAATTCTCCCCTTCAATATAAATTATTAATTATATTAATTAATTTTACAAAAAATTAAATTATAATATATATATTGCTAGACATCATTATTAAGATTGGCAACTACAAATTTTGGAGAAGTATTTGCATCATGGATTCACTTGAAAGTATTAAGAGTTTATGTTGAATCTGTATTACGTTATGGATTACCACCTGATTTCATGTCAGCTATAATAAAGGTATTATTTCTTTGATTCCTTACAAAAAAAATCATTAAACACCATTAGTAATAATAACAACATTATTATATTATTTAAAGCCAAAATCAAAGATGGAAAAGAAAATAAGAGAAATACTGAATACACAATATGGAAAATATGGAGGGGCATTGGGTAATGAGTCAAGTAAAGTTGAAAATATTGAGGAATTTCATAATTTAGTTGATAAAGATTATTATCCATATGTGTGGTTTCAAATTCATTTTGATATTTCAAGAAGATAAATGACATTAATAATAATAATAATACTTTTAATTTATTGTGTTTGTGTATTTTTATATTAATCACTTAATTATTTTGATTTTTATTTAATTTATAAAATATATATTTATAAACATGTCATTAGTTTTACAATGATTGAATGATGAATTTAATGAAAATAATTATATAATTTTTTTCTATATTTACATAATTTATTACTTTGTTGTCTATAATATAATATATGTGTATATATGATTTTCATTCTCTTCTCATATAATAATCAATTGCAGTTGAGAAAGCAGCAAACCCTACACAACCAAATAAAACAGCCTGAGGACCTGCTTTTGCAGACAATATGCCGCCTGTTATACAACCAGCAGCTGTACTATTATGCAAATCATTTTTAGCTCTATACTATAAAACTAAAAAAATCAGTAATTGGTTGAAGAGAAAATACTTATATATAACTAAATTATAATATTTACACCTTCTATAACCACGTTCAGTACCAGAATATATGGCACCAATTAAAGCAAAATTTTTAGCCATTGAATATGATTTATTGAGCATATCTTTAGCAATTGCTTTAAGTTGTTGTTTCATTGGTTTATCATAGATAGATGAGTCAACGGATAAATGTACCAAATAATCCGTCCAATGCAAAACCTTTTTTATAATTGTTTAAAAATATTAATGTAGTCAGTCAACATCAATTATTGTTGATTAATTATTACCTGCTGCTCCACTTAATGCAACTTTAAATAAACATGACTCTTGGAACATTTGCATATATATAATTTCTTTTGGAACTGGCTCACAATTTGGAAAACTCTTTTTTTCATATATATGAAATATGTTTGGTTTTTGGTGCGATCAATGTTTTCACCTTGTTAAACGAATTTTGAGTCGTACGGCAAATATTCTGTTTATTAAAAAGAGTTCTTTGCAATTGAAATTTGCAAGTGCCTTGCCATTGCCTTGCCTGTTGCTTGTGACGATATTGCAATGAACTTCCGCTCCTCAATTTTTTTTATTCGAAAAAAGGTTCATTATATAGTCAAATAAAAAATATGTTGTTGATTGTTGATCATCTATCGAATTGGGATGATTCGTAATAATAATAATAAATAAGATTTTGATTATTCCAATTGTTAATTTTCGAGGAATATATACTTGGAACAAAATACAGACTAGGAATTATTAAAAAATCATCACTTTTTATTATGTAAAATAAAAAAATTTACGGGACTGATAAACCTCAAACAAAATCCGAAAAACATTTTTCAATTGTTACATCAAAATTATCACTTTTTATTGTAATTGGGTAAGAAAAAAAATGTCAAAATCCGAAAAACGGTTTTTAAATTGTTATGTAGTGTCCTGCAGCTGCGCAACTAAAGTTATTTGAATATTATTATTATTTTATTATAATTAATTATCAAACAATAAACAATATCTTTTAAATTATGGCTAAAATTTATGATTGGAATTTATGATTGATAATTTTTTTTGATACAGATAATGTTATATGATAATGAGAAGTTCTATTAAAGTATTAAAGCATGAGTTCATTGGTAAGCTGTTTGAACACAGCATCTGCAATGGAATGATAGGTGTGATCACCAAAGTTATAGATGATGATGATGTAGAAATTACTTTTCCAACTAATGGTTACATTATTAAAATGACATTCAAAAAATCACTATAAATTTTGAAATAAACAGTAATATGTCTTGAGGTGCCAACTCCCATTGCAAAATGCATTTGCCTTGACAACAAGACACAAGGTGTGTCATTGCCACATGTGACTAACAATTGATGAAATATGTTTGCCCCAGGCCAGATCTATGTGGCAATGACAGGGCTCCTTCTTGGGACCAGTTGGATATCCTTTCATTTGATTTTAATTGCCTGAAAGTGAATAAAGATGTTGTGACTGAATACAGAAGGTTAAATCTTTTACACCAAAACAGTCTAAAAAATATTATTAATTAATATTATTAACAAATAAATTAATTGATTAAAAAAAAGAAAATTTTTTTTTGATGTATCATGTCTCACTTTGCATTTAATCCTGTTAATTATGACAAAAACATTTCATTAGGTATCATTTAATCATGACATACCAATGACTCATTTTTGACATTTATCTTTAGTAATTGTCAATTAGTCATCATTTATCATTCTATTCTATTTATTTATTTTATTTTATTGGGCAAAATCAGGTTATTTGTAATACTTTAAAAAGTATATATGTGCTTGAAATTTCCTTCAGTGAAAAATTTAAAAAATAATTGATCTTTCAATAATAACACTTTGGTAATAAAAATAACACTTTTCATTAATTGATAAATCTGGCATGATTGATTGATTCATAACCCTTTCTGATGATTAATGGTTTGGCCAACATTTAATTATTAGTTAGAGACCACTTTTATTAGTTTTACTATATTGCTTGTAGGGACGCCTCAAGCAGTGTAGTTGTATATTTTAGTTTAGTTTGAACATTATTGTGCCAGATTTAGTGACTCTGCAATAGAGTAGAGTTTCTATTTGTAATAAAATTTTTGTTCAAATTATTCAAATCATTTGTTTTGTTTGAATTGTTATCATTCGTTTATTATTTGAATAACATAATTCGTTTATTATTCAAATTGTATCATTCGTTTATTATTATTATTTGAATTATCATCATTTGTTTATTATTCAAATTGACATCATTCATTTATTAATATTATTCAAATTGTATCATTTGTTTATTATTATTATTCGAATTGACATCATTTGTTTATTATTATTATTCAAATTGACATCATTTGTTTATTATTATTATTTGAATTGACATCATTCGTTTATTAATATTATTCGAATTGTATCATTCGTTTATTAATATTATTTGAATTGACATCATTCGTTTATTATTATTATTTGAATTATCATCATTTGTTTATCATTATTATTTGAATTATCATCATTTGTTTATCATTATTATTTGAATTATCATCATTTGTTTATTATTATTTGAATTGACATCATTTGTTTATCATTTGAATTGACATCATTTGTTTATCATTTGAATTGACATCATTTGTTTATTATTCAAATTGACATCATTTGTTTTATCATTCAAATTGTATCACTCGTTTATCATTTGAATTGTTATCATCATTTGTTTATTATTTGAATTGACATCATTTGTTTATCATTTGAATTGACACCATTTGTTTGTTATTCGAATTGTTATCATCATTTGTTTATTATTCAAATTGACATCATTTGTTTATCATTTGAATTGTATCATTCATTTATTATTTGAATTGTTATCATTATTTGTTTATTATTTGAATTGACATCATTTGTTTATCATTTGAATTGTATCATTCATTTATTATTCATTATTTGTTTATCATTCGAATTGACATCATTCGTTTATCATTCAAATTGTATCATTCATTTTGCTTGAATTATTCATTTTATTTAGTTTATTCGTTTTATTATTCTAATTGTTGTCATTCATTTATTCGAACTATTTGTTTATTTGTTTTATTCAAATTATTCGAATAGAAACTCTAATCAAGCATTTAGTTGTATCTAGTGATTTTAATCTAGTTTGTGGTGACTCCAACAACTCAGATTGCATGCTTGCAATATTTATTACAGTTTTATGACTTTAGGGCGTCAATGCTGAATTATTGTAGTTCAGGTAAAATTTTAATTTTTTTTTAGATATAAATATATTTAATATATTTTTTGTGATACATATTTGTGGCTGAAAAAAAAAATTTCTTTGAAAAAAAATTTTTTTTTACAAATATACAAAAACCACAATGGAAACCATTTTGGATGAAAATAAACATCATGACGATACTTCTACTGATAAAAACGATGAATATTCAAAGGAAAGAATGACATGTTGTGGAAAATGTCCAACTTGCAATAGATATAATACTAGTCATTTATGGTGTCAATCATGTGATCCAAAGTTATTAACTGAAGGATGGACTAGTGGCAATGAAACATTAGATGAGTTG